TTGAGAGCTTTCAAAGTCACCGTCTCCCCCCAGAGGGGTGGGTTACCAGTATCGCGGGAGGGCTCTCAGTCCTGCTGGAAGCATTTGAGGCTGTCTGGAACCCCTGTGCTTATACACTCCATTGCTTTTCCTTTCTGTCCTCCAGTCAATGATCCCATTCATGGGAACAGCATCTTTTGGTCCAGGTTCTGCTGAGACCCTGCAAGCTCCCTGGTGCCAGCTCAGCCTCTGTGAGCTGCCATGGCCACACAACACTGCTGGTTCCACTAATGCCCTTTGCTTCTGTGCCCCAGGAGGAAACAGGGAGGAGGATGGGGGTGGACGTCATTCTGCTTTCATTGCTCAGCGGAAGGAAGGGCCTTTCAGCAATGAGGGGGAGCAAGTAGAGAAGGGGCAGGACCTGAGCAACTGAGCAGAAGGGAGCAGCCGCAGTGATGCAGGGGAATGAGCACCAAAACTGCGAGACATCTGGTAAGATTTTGTGCTCTCTAAAATCTAAGACGAATTTTAGGAACAACAGAGGTTAAAAGCAGAGTATATTTATGGACAGGAAGAAAGCTCCTCTCTGAGAGACAGAAGGGATGCCAAGTAGGTTGTCAAGGACTCTGTCATTTCTAGGGATTTTTCTAAAGCAAAATCACAGGGTGAGACAGGTCCAAAGTGGAGAAAAGATGGCAAATCACAAGGTGGGGCATCAGGTGGGAAAAAACTATGGTCAACCAATAAGATTAATTGCTTGGGAAAATTGATTAAATTGGGGACAAATGAGGAAGCGAGTCAGGCAGCCAGTGGGCAGGCTTAAAGAGCAGTGACTCTTCCCTAGGGGCTTGGGGTGGGGACTCCTGGCTTCCTCAGGGTAACAGAGATCTAGATAGAATATCAGTCCTTAGGATGTGGGTGCATTTGCTTGATCTTTTGTTTTGACGTGTGGCCCACAGTGGAGGTATCTGTCTCCCCTACAGTTGCAAGGTATCTGGCCTTCTGCACTGGTTCCTTTGAGGGCCCAGCCCCCTCTCTCTCTCTCTCTCTCTCTCTCTCTCTCTCTCTCTCTCTCTCTCTAATTCAACATCCTGTAACAGTAGCATTGATGACCGTTACTGGACTGTGGATTCTCAGGGGCATATGTAAGCTAAGGACAGGGTGTGGAGATCTGCTCGAGCTGGAAACACATGGGGACAAGAACAGGAAGAAAGGGGAAGGACATAGGGAATGCAGAACGTGTCAGCCACAAGCCTGCACCCACCTGAAGGGAATGGTGTGGCCACCTGACACCCCAGAGGGTAAGGAGCTTCAAACGCCAAATGCCCTTAAAACAGAGAGGAAGGCAGTGGACTTGGCCAGGGAAGATGGGCAGTTCTGTCCTCTTACTTGGTGACCACATGTGAGTTGCTCTGCAGGTATCTTGAAAAAGTTATCTTTAGAGATTCACAATTTCCCATTAAAACATGCATACGTCACTCTAGGGCAAAAACAGTGAACCACGGATGATAACCTTTCAGAGCTTCCAATGGTACAGGCGGCCCTCTGTGGCACACGTGTCATGGCTTCCCCACCACTGCTCTGGGGCAGCAGTGGCAACCAGGGATGCTGGAGAAAGTTATCTTCCACCTGAATGTGACATAAGAAACACTCATCGCATCATCTTCTATTCAGATGAGACTGAAGACTTTAACCTGTGCCCTCACAGAGTTAGCTCAGGATGGCTCTGTTGAAACTGAAAGAAACTTAGCCACACTGCATGCCCTGGCCCTCCACCTGGAAAACAGGACTCTTCAAGGCAAAAAAAGCCACCAACTGAGAGATTATGTCTTCATGCACACAAAGTCAACACAAAAGTCCATCAGAACACATGCAAAGCACATGTGAAAACTTTAATGTCGAATTTTCCTCAAGGTCAAAAATTTAAGATTATTTACAGTTTTGCAAAACTGCTTAGTTTTAGATATTTAAGGAGCATGTGCCTAATACTAGTTGTGGGTTTTTTATTCCAGTAACAGCTGCAAGTAAGAGCACAGGTAATAACTGCTACCCATGGGGAGCCCTTGCTCTATATTGGTTATGGTTATTAGGGAGCCATAAGTACACAGTCAGCCTCTTCATTCATGGCTCTGCTCTTACAGTTCAGCCAACCACAGGTAGAAATATTTTGGAGATATTTTAATGCTATATCAATACTGAATAGAATTTTTCTTGTCATTGTTCCCTAAACGATAGACCACTGTTATTTCCATAGCATTTTCATTTTATTAGAGATTATAAGCATCTAGATATGATCTAAGGTAGAAGGGAGTATGTAAGGTAGATGCAAATAGTGTGTCATTTGGGGGAACATTTAAGGGATATGAAGAGCCAGGGTGTATAACCGTGAAGCATCCTGGAACAAACAGTCACTGACACAAAGAGGCACCCCACCGGCTATTTAATCCTCCCAATAACTCTGAGGGTAAAGTGTCCTTGTGCTTTTACTGTATGAGAGAGTCGCAGTTCAGCCAGGCTAAGTGGCAAAGTGCTCAGTTAATGAGGCACAAAGCTGGGATCTGAACACGCGTAAGTGGCTGCAAACCCAGTGTTCCATTTCTAACTGACAGTGAAATAGTGTGCACATTTGTGGTGCACAGCGTGCCATGCTGAAATACACATACACGGTGGAATTGACAAAGTGGATCCTGTGTTTGTTTCTCTCCTGTACTTTTTGTTTGTGGTCAGATTTAAAATCTCTCCCTTGCCAGTTTTCAGAAATGCAGTATATCGCTGTTTACCATGCTCACCATGACACACACAAAATCTCTCTCACTTGGTGTACATGAAGCCTGGCATCTTTGGTCCACTTCTTTCTACTCTCACTCTCTACTTCTGGTAAGTAGTGTTCTCTGCTCTGCTTCTGTCAGTGCCGCTGTTTTAGATTTCATGTGTAAATAATTTCACGTGGTATTTGTCTTCTTGTGCCTGGCTTATTTCACTTAACATAATATGCAGCTGCATCTACAGTGTCACAGATGGCAGAGTTTCCTTCTTATGGGGGATGAGTGCCGCGGTACCCCACTGTGCATGACCATCACATTTTCTTATTTATGGGCCACTTGTAGGCAGCTGGGGGACTCCAGATGCCCACTAATCTGAATAACATTGCATTGGACTTTGAACATATTACAGATCACCCTGAAACATACTGATTCCAATTCTTTGGATTTGAAGTCAGAAACACAATACTTTGGTTTTTTAAATTTTTATTTTAAATAGAATAAAACCAAGCAAAATAAAACAGAATAAAGCCAATCAAAACAAACCCATGTGACACAGGACTTCAAAACAATACAAAATCAACAATGTTTACCTTAATGGTTCTTGTCTTCAAAATAGCTGCAGATACCTGCAGACATGGTAAAAATCAAACAAAATAGGACAGAATAGAACCAATAAAAACTAAACAATGAATACAATACAGAACTTCAAGACAAGAGAAGAGTAAATACAAAATGGCTGCCATAATGTATCTTGTTATCTTTGAAATAGCTGCCCGTGCCGTTGGATACAATAAAACCAAACAAAACAGAAATGATCCAACTCAGCACAGTAATGAAAATGATACAGGACTTCAAAACAAGATGACAGGGTATTACCAATGGCCACCACCCTCAGGAGGAGATCCCCCTACATGCCACACTGTGTACCATGAACCCCTGAATAGATGATCAGACCACCAGCCCTACACCTGCAGAGTCAGTGAACACCAAACACCACAAGCCTTAAACTGCATTTCACATCAATAGCTGTCATCACAGCCTGTGTTTTTTCCAGATCAGCCAGGTGCTTATGGGCGTGGGGGTGAAGTCGTGGCTCTTCTTGTTTCCTGGCCCAGGCGCCAGAAGGGCCTGGGGGCTGGCTGTCCTCCCAGCAGCCCATGCATGGTGCTGACTCATAGGAAGAGGCTGGGCTTTGGCTGTCCCCTGCTGACACACACAGAAGCACATACCTTGGTCGTATGGGAGATCTACTTCTAGTCTGCTGAGGAGCCTTCTATTCCTTCTGTAGCAGGTAGAATAATTTTCATTCCCATCAGGCCTTCACTTCCACCACACACTTGACAATGCACCTTTCTTTCTTTCTTTTTGATTGCAGTCATTCTAACAGCTGTTAGGTGTCTTCTTATGGCCGTGACAATTAGCATTTCCCCCTTATGATTAGTGTTGTTGGACATTTTTTATAACCTATGGGCCAATTGTATGTCTCCTGTTAAAAAATTAACATCTATTCTAGTCCTTGGTTCTTTTCTAAACTGTTATTTAAAAAAAAATTACTATTGAGTTGTTTGATTTCGTAATATTAAAATAAAGCCCCAAATAATTCCCAAGTATCTTTACTTTATTTTCTATACAAAAATCTTCCCCCAAAATTATTCCTTATCAAATTTCAGAACATCTAATCACAAGACTCAGACCAACGTTTTGCATATGATTATTAGCAGGGAGCCCTCCTTTATGTGTTTTATGCATCATGTGGGGGATTTATAAAACATAAACACGTAGAAGCTTAGGATGAGATCTGAGCACTTTGTGTTCACCAGGTGGTGCTCAGAGATGGAGAGTGGTTAGCTGGTGAGAGCCCAGCATATGGCACCACCAGCTTCCCACGTCTGCCCCAGCTGTGCACAGGGAGCCTGCAGGGAGGGCAGCTGCCAGGTAGGTGCCCTTGGCCCAGGTGCTGGCCAAGTGCTTGGGTGCTGGGAGTGTTTGCACATAAATTCATCACAGAAAAGACAAACATCTGGCAAGACAATCAGGTTTTCTAGGTAGAAAACGGAAGAAAAGGATGTCTGTATTTTTTCAAATTTCTATTAAAGTTTCTTAGGATAAAAAAAGCACAAGATTACGGAAGCTATTTATCACAAATTCAAGCTATAAAGCATCAAAAATGTAGAGTTTATCTGTGACTTCAGGAAAGCGTAACAAGTAAACACAATAGTGACCTCCAAACTACTTATCCCATAAACAGAAAATGCCAAAGAGAGACTTGGAAAGACCCAGCTGAGAAGAAGGGGCAGACGCAGGAGTCTGTGTCACCAAGACGGCGCTGCACACCTGAGCTCACATGCTTGGCGAATATTTCCCAAGAGAGCCTGGCGCTCGGAGTCTGGCCAAGTCCAAAGGTTTGGTGAGAAGTGCTCCACGCATCGGTAAGGTCCTTAGCGTTATAAAAGCAGTTAGCATGGCTGGATATTGGTTTCTGTGCTCCATGGTTTAGGCTGGATGAAATCCGAGCACACACCCACCTTTTCTGAGCTACCTGACAACAGCTCTACTTTTCAGTGCTGAAACCACTGACATCACCAGAAACAGCTCTGAAGTGTGCAGGTGCGATACTCAGTACACAGCACTACCGATATATAGCTCAGTCTCTATTCCTCACTGCTTACCATCTTACCTTGGGCATGCATAATATAATTCAGTTTACACAAACATCATTTACTCATTAACCTCAGAGTTTCTGGGCAGAGATGATGCTTCGCAAAGACTACTAGAATGATGTAAGCAGAGATGAAAGGAATAAAATCCTTGGGAGGCCAGGAGGTGACGTGGTATCACCCCTGGTGTGGCATCACTGGGAACGTGGAGGACCAGGTCAGCTGGAATGGTCCTATTCCACATGAAGGAGGAAACCATCTTCCATGTAGACACAGCCAAGTCCCATAGGAATGCTGGCTCAGCCTTTCTGAGCATCTGCAATGTCAAAAAATAAAAAGCTGCAGATTCATTTCGCGAAAATCCTGATCAGTTTCATCACTGGCCACTAAGGGGGAGGAGACAGAGTGGGCTGCTGTTGAGACCGGTGAGGGTGTGTGGCCCCAGAGCTACCGTTTCACGGCCGAGTGTGCAAGGCTTCCCCTGACAGTACGTCCAGGGAACTGACGTGAGTCGATGGCTCTGTTTTGGTTTGTTTCTCAGCCTGTGAAGCAGTCAGCGACAAACCCGCTGCCTTGTGCCCATTGATGTCACACTTACTCCAGTCACCGTGTTCTTTCTGGTGTCCACAGAGCCAGCAGACACGGGAAGCAGGCTTCACCACATGGCCGGCATAATCCCCCCAGAGCCCTCTTTTCCCTGCGCAGGAACCTGGGCTCCAGCGCAGCATGCCCTGGGGTTGATTAGTGCCGTCTTCAGTCGACAGGTGCCGGGGAGCTCCCCTCTGCCATGCTGGGCCATGAGTTCAAGTCCAGTATCCTGCTGTGGAAGATCCTGTAGGCTTTCAAATCCCAATCTGTGTACCATTTTTAATGGCTAGGGAAAGATTTCTATACCATACTCAGTCAGCAGAGTCTTAGGGGATTTGTGTCTGGAAACCTCTGCTTGCCCACTTAGGAGGTTGTAATGGCTGACACAGTGTGTAGCCTTGAGTTTAGAAGCTGAACTAAGTAAGTCAGCAGGTCTGCATCCCAGGGTGGAGAGGACTTGCCCTAGGGTGGCTGTTTATGCTTTAGGGTGTTGCAATGGTTGATCCATTGTGGCAACTTGAGAAGTGTAGAAGTTTAAGTAAGGGACTCAGCAGGTGGGTGGAGCTCTTACTCAGTAACCATCCTCATCCTGTGCAAGAGGAGGCACAGAGACCTGCAGGTGCCATGTCTGCCTGAGGGCAGAGGATGGAAAAGCTTGCTTTCCTGTTTGATCTTGTTGTTTTTGCTGCCTTCTGCTGCTGTGAAACATTGCCCCTCTGCCATGCCGTCCTGTTTTGGAGCCAGCTGATTACCGACTGAAGTAGAAATCCTGGGGGGGGGGGGTCCATGAATCTAACTTGAAGACGTTGCTAAAGGTTTCCATGTCCTCAGTACCATTATTAAAGGGAAGCTCTGTAAGCACAACACTGACAAACATTGTTACGATGGCCTACTGCACCATCTGGGGAGAAGCAACCTTTCAAATACCAGCACTAGCTCTAAGAGGTAGCAGGCTTCTTTAACTACCAGAAGCTAAGGAGAGTCTTGTGCTTTGTATTCACTGAAGTCAGTGGTCAGACTGTCACAGTGGGACACCATAGGAGATTACAGGAATCACTTTTAACATAGGGACCCTCATTCTCAGCGGTCTCCTGATCAGCTTGTCAAGGTAGATCTCCAACTCCTCCTACTGTGAAAGAGCCCCGTGTTCAGTTCTGTACCACGAGCAGGACGCTGGTTGCCATTCAAGGCTCTGAAAAGCCGGCGGAGTTGAAAAAAGCAGGCGTTGTGGTGGAAGCTTGGCGTGAGTCTTTCCTCTGGATTTCTTCGTGTGAGGCCCCAGTGCCCGGCTGCTATCTAGCAGGGTCTCATTTCCCGCTTTGCAGGGAGCCCAGAGCTGGTCGGTGGCCTCTGCTTGCTGCCCGGTTCATGTCTGCTACGTTCCTTCACGTCCCTTACAGGTCACAATAGTGATCCCCTCTTCAATAAGGAATTACCAACATGAACATACTGTGGCACTTCTGGTATAACTTCAGTTCCTTGTTCTCGGTGAGCCCCAACCCTCGGGCCCTTTAGGTAACATCTCTGATACTTTTAGCATGTGACAAATCTATAATATTACTAATAAATAAAAATGCAATGGTAAATTGACTTTATTCTTAAACTAATTTCATGCTGAAATCCCTTATTAGTGAGTGTCCATGTTTTATGGACACATTAAACATTTTTAAATTAAAATGTTTATGGAAAAGCAACTACACTTCCACTTCATGGTAGCAAATGCAAACCAAACACATTGACTACGAGAGCATTAAAATATAAGACAGTAATAACCCTCACCACAAAATTTATAGGACCTATATCCTGAAAACTAGAAAACACAGCAGAGAAATTAAAAATTTCAAAGAACACTTTAAAGTGAGATACTTGAAGATAACAGTTTTCTATGAAAATCCAAAAGGCTTGGAATAATAAAAAACATATTAAAGGAACAAACATTTGGAAGGGTAACAGCACATTACTGTGGAAATATTCTGGGTACATATTTATAAAATATTATTTACCCTTCCAGCTTCTCCCACTAGGGAGAAAATACAGTTTGCGCATATGAGCCTGATTTATTACACTTTCTAAGTATGGACTCCAGCTGCCTCCATTCACCTGTAAAATCCCCATCATCCATTTTCATGGCTGAATAATACCTACTGCATGAAAGAAACATGGCTTTTTTTATCCATTCTTTGGTTGATGGACATTCAGTTTTTTTCCAGGATCTGGCTATTACAAATTACACTGCAATAAACGTGGGTGCACTACATCACTGTGGTGTGATGTTTTTAATTCTTCCAGGAAAACACCCTGAAAAGCTGGGTCAAATGGGGACTTCAATCTTAGTCCCCCACAAAGCTCCACGCTGATTCCCATGGTGGTTGCACCAGTCTACACTTCCACCAGCAGTGTAGAAGGCTCCTTTCCCCCACAGCCTCTTTGACATTTGTTGTTAGTTGGTTTCTTTATAACAGCCATTCTTTCTGGAGTGAGGTGAAATCTCAGGGATGTTTTAATTTGCATCTCTCTAATGGCCAGTGATGCTGGATGCTTTTTCATGTATTTGTTTGCTGTTTGTATTTCTTCATCTGAGAAGTGTGCATTCATCTCAGATGCCCTTTTTGGATTGGGTCTCCAAATGTGGGAGTTTTGATTTTTGGGGGAGTTCTTTATATGTTCTTAATAGTGATCCTTTGTCTGAGGGACAGCTGATGAACATTTCTTCTGAGACTGTAGGCTAAGTCTTGACTCTGTTCATGGTTTCTCTTGTTGTGCAAAAGCTTTTTAATAAGATGAAATTGGAATATTTTATATATACTTCAAAATAGACATATGAAAGGGAAAGCAGTCTTAGCTCATTAGCAAGCATTTCTACTAATCTGCTGGGGTCACTGCCCTGTCACATTTGGTCTTCAGCTCTGTGAAGAGGACAGGTGATTATCTATGGATCAGCCCTGCCAGCCCTGCTTTGGAGACAGAGGAGTGTTTTTCATTTGGTGCTGCTCAGAAGCTACCACCTTCCTGAGCACTCAGGTGACCAAATTCTCCCCAGGAAAGTCTGTCCAATGGGACTCAGAGGTGGGCCTTGACTCTCCAATTAGCATACTAAATTTCCTGTCAAAATGACTGGTTTAGAATTGTCAGGTGATCCAATTTTGACCAATGAAATGTAAGGAGATAACTTTTCCCTACCCTCCTCTACAGGTGCCTGCGAAATGTCTTACTAGTTTAGGATCTGTGGCTGTGGGTAAATTTTGGCCAGTTCAGGGACCCTGCCTGAGAAGCCCTCTTTTTAAACTTTGGATACTGAATATTTGTTTCAGGACCAAGAAGAGCAACTACAACACCTTAAAATCTGTGATGACCCAGTTATGAATTTCTTTGTTCTTTATTCCATTCCCTCAACAATAAAAGATTCTTTACTTCTGACATCAGCTACCACAGTATGTATTTTTTTCCTAGCGCTGCCTGCATTTCATGTTCCATATTTATTTGTTTCACTGTCCTAATACTAAAATGATTTATCTTGATCTCTTGCAGCCTGACTTCTTCAGACTGACGGCCAGCTGTGCTTGCTGGCAGGAGGCCCACAGCAAGATGCTTTGGCTCAGGCTCCTTCTCTGCAGCATCGGCCCAGCCTCCTCACTCAGCACTCCTGCTCCTCGCGCTCCCCACCAAACTCTCAGTCTGCAGGCTGGGCTTCAGGGACCTCAGCATCTTCTCTGCAGCCCCAGGGAACCTGGTGCTTTGTGAGAGCCAAGACTTTGCCACTGTGAGATCACTAACTCCTTCATGTATTCTAATCCACATCTCTGCTCACTTGCATCTCCCACATTTCCTTTGAGGCCTCCTTAGTCTTCTCCCAAATCACAAAAATAGAAAATTCTCAACCCTGTCCTGAACTGGTATCACACCTTGACCAACCTTTGTAGTTAACCAACTACACGTGAGCCTTTCAAAGGCTGAGCAAATCCTCAGCTCTCAGACAGTCAATGGCGCGTAGTATGTGATTAACTGATGGATGAAGGAGTGAGTGGATGGATGAGAAACCTCTTCCCTTCCTGCTCAGCAGGGAAGCCCTGCCCACGAGGGGATGAAGTAAGGTAACCCATGCTCCCCTGTGACCCCCACACAAGGAGCTCCAGAGACACAGAGACAATGGTGGCTGAACCAAACACCCCAGGTAACTGGGCTGTCCCCTTTGTTGGGAAGATTGTTTTCTTTACTGATTACAAAGGCACTCAGTTAGTAGCTCAGATATGCTGATGGTTGCTTTGTGGAGAAGCTTAGCTGGAGGAGAAAGAGTATCCCATGGAAACAAGGAGAAGCAGATTGTACAGTCTGATTTCTGGTTCTATCACCCTCCAAATGGCAAACTTATTAGCTTACAAGGCCCAATACATTTACTTTCCCCACCCATTTTCTGAGCTGAATCCAGTAGTTTTCACCTAGGGACAATTTTGCATCAGGGGAATATTCTGCAGTGTATGGAGACATCAACAGGGCAGTGTTTGTCACTGGCATGAACTGGGTAGAAGCCAAGGATGTTGCTACTCAAAGCAGAGTAACACCTTCCATGCACAGGCAGAGGACCATCAGCTTTCCTCAAATGTCAGTCCAGGAAAAGCTGGACTTCTCCACTCCCTACCACCACAGGGACCCTAGGCTTCTGTGGGCTCTGCCCAGGCTGCCAGATCTCAGCTGTCACCAGCTCCACAAATCCTTCATCCTGCTAAGCAGAAGTTTGGAAGTTGAGACTCCTGGTTTGCATGTTATGGCTGGAATGGAGATGAAAAACACCTTTTCTCACTTCTCAGCTTTGCTGCTTTCTGTTGATTCTACAGAAACCACTTTGAAGTTAGACAAAGAAACCAGGAATCCAGTTAGCACCCCTGTTAGCAATGCGCACCCCACAGATGCAACTCTCAGTATTTCACAGCTCCGATGGCCCATGCTCATGAGTGGGCTCATTAATGTAGCATGGAAGAACCACTTCTTCCTGAGAGGCAGCATCCATCTGCTCTTTCCTCATTTGTTGCCTCCTTACTGTCTGCCAGACCTTGGTCCCTGAAGTCACATGGGTGCAGGTCCCTGAGGTCCCAGAGAACAGGAGCGCAGTGCAGAACAGGAGCACACCTCTGTCAGGTCAGCCATGGCCTCAGGGCTGCCTTCTTTGCAGGGGGAAGCCCCTGCCATTGTTACCCCTGTGTCTTTACTTTGAGAGTGGTTTATTCACTGTGCACGTCCTCTTCATGCAGATGCAATGAGATGCTGGAGTTGTGATCTGGCTCCAGGCAGCAGAGTGGACTTTTCCAATTCCAGGGCAGAGGCTAAGGATCTGCTTCTTTTCAGCATCCTTCACCCAGTCCTTCAGCTTTCCCTGAGACTGGTGCTCTAGGAGACACACAGACAGACACCTAAATATGCCACCTCACTGAAAAAATATCCTTTGTATCCATTACCCGGTTCCTTCATTTACAGAAGATATGGGCTAACTCTTAACCAACAGGTACCAGAGTAGCATAAATGGGGCCCATTTGTCTTTCTTGATACCTGCACAGTCTCTGGCATATCATCGCTCAGAACCTTCACTCTTGTGGTGAAACAGATTTAGGAGAAACAGTTCCTAATCTCCTAGATGTCAGATGTGCTGGGTTCATGTCCCATGAAATCAAGGAATGAACTCTACAGGACAGAGGAGGTTAAGAGTGGCAAGAGGGTTATGGGGGAATAGAATCAGCTGCTGAAGGACAGGAGGGGTCTGGAGTGCACTGCCACTGAGGTCCTTGGTCAGGGATAACTCACACAGCAAAGTCATGAATGTAGGTACAATGTGGGTCAAACTATAATCAACCAATAAGATGACAAGGAAGCCACTCAGCTCACACTACCCAATAGAGAAGTAAGGTGTGTAGCAGGGGCATATGACAGACACAATTAACCTTGGCTTCTGTGATTGCCAAAACAGGAACATGTTGGGAAAGGGTGGGTGAGGGGTTCTGGTCACCCAGCCAGATGTCTAATGCATAACTGAACTTAGTGGAGTGGGTGGTGCCAGTTTCAGTGTAGTCCCAAATTCTGTTTACCCCCTAGAAGTAGCTGAGTCTGTCCATTGTGACCTTATCTTGGGACCTGGCCTTATTCAGATGTGACTGCAGCCCCAATCCTGATATCTGCATCTTTCCTGAGTTCCTTTAGAGCCCAGTCCTTCTCTGACTGTATACTACATTCTAACTTAGCTGTCTATAATACAGTGAGATGACTTCACTCATGTCCTAAATGGTTTCCGTGCTCATCACTTGAAATCACCAACGTCAAAGGCTCCAGGACAGAGGAGACATCTGAGGCTCAGTTAACCAGTTAAGATGCTTCTTCCCTCCCTCCTTGGTCCTGTAGGCAAAGGGGATACAAAGGAACCTGGGAAAAAGGATGCTTTTCAGTTGGCCCCAAAACAACCTTTAATTGAGAAAAAATATTTTGAAAAGATTAAGAAACTGGAGCATCACAAACACTAAGCAATTTTCCCAAGGTAACAGGAAGCGTAATAGAAGCAGGACCTGCCTCCATGCCCGGAAGCTCAGACTCAGCACTCTGCTCTGTACACATCTATGCAGGCTGCAGTTGGCAAGGGGGCTTGAGATGCCTCCTCAGCCACTGACATAGAAGGAAAAGCAGTGTGTTAGTTTAATCCTGAGGTGAGCATGCGGCTGGGGAATCAGGGAAGAAACAAGAAGCAGAGTGTTAATGGCTAGGCTGGTGTAGCAATGGGGAGTCACCGAATGTATTAAAAGGTAAAAATTCAGCAGAGAGGAGGTATAAAAGCCTTAGGGACTCACAGGGAGCAAGCCATAGGAAGATGGATCAACCTCTCCTGCAGCTGGAAAGGTACAGATGTCCCCTGGATTCCTGGCTAACATCCTCCTGTGAAGCCGCCCAATCTTTGAACATCCCTCAGCAGCACTGAGCAAGGAAAGAGGCCACTGCTGAGCTCAAGGTGGACAGGGAGTGGGGCCTCTTCATGGGAAACTCCAGCTGCCTGCTCCTATCCTTAAAGCTTCTTAATATTTAATACTTAATACTTCGCTCTGTTCTGCAAAGCCAAGCACAGCTTCGTAAAGTGCATTACGGAGAGATCAAGCACTCCAAGATGCAAAAGAGGACAAAGGAAGCCAAGCTCCGTCGTGCAGGTGCCCTCTGAGGTCAGCTGGCTTTGTTTGCTACCATGTAGAGAACACAGAGAGGAATTAACCCAGAGAGCACAGGACAGCCTTGGCTCTGAATACACAGTGTGCTTTGTACCATCACAATGGTCACAAAGGAAGAATTTGACAACCTTGGTGGCTGTGACTAATAGCAGCTCACAAAGCTCACAACAAGGAGACCAGAAAGGCTGAATGTGAACAAGCTATGGTGCTTTCTGAGCAGTCCTGGGGAAAGCGCTTCCCTCCCCATCCTCATCAGAACTGAATCAGCTCTCTGGCCTGGGGGTCTCACTCTGCTGAGACAGCCTGGAGCCCCGCGATTGACTCCTGGGAGAAACAACACCTTAACCCTAATTACAACACCTCGCATCTGTGTGGTGATTTTCACTTTACAAACTGCCCATTAAACCAAATGCCTTCTTCACCGTGTGTCCCCTTCTCTTCAAGAGAAGTGCACATTGCTGACTGACTGATGAATGAGGAAAATGTTTCCTCCTCACAGAGCTACCCAGCTTGCGTGCTGGGTGTCCTGCCTCAGCTTGCCTTTTCACTTAGGAGTAGGAACCCTCAAGGTGCTCGTAATTGACCTCTTCTGAGGTCCCACACAGGAGCCAGGAGGGAGGCCTGTGCTCTTACACGGGGGGAGGCTAGGAGCAGCCCTGGTGAGTGGGAACAGCGATGTGGATTCTTCCCCAGCCCCTCCTCACCACCGGGCATTCCTAGCCCACCACCTAACCTTGCTGCCCTCAGCCGCCTCAGCTGTGATATGGCCACCTGGGGACTGGAGTGACACCACTATCCCAGAATTTCAGAGCCTTACCTGAGCTGGGATTCCTGAGTCCTTAGAACAGTGACTAGGGCACGGGGCTGTTCCAGTGGTCACTGTCATTGGCTATTTGTACACAGACCAGGCGGATGAAGAGAGGAAACACACTTTGGGTTTTGGCTGCCCAGTGTTTTGTGATTTTCCTTTGGGGAAGCTCCACTGCCCACCTCTTAACCTACACATTTTGGGTGTGGATGAATCCACAGATAGTGCTGAAATGACATAGACTTGTTCCATTCCCTTGATGGAAACCATCACTCAGAACCCAGTGTGAGACCCTAAACTTTCCCACCAAAGTCATTCCAGGACTTGTGCTAAGCTCTCAGGAGGCAGGGCTCCTTTGAAGCAGGGAGTGCAGAGCCTGGGGCAGCACAGATACCAGCAAAAAGTTCCTTAAGGAAGGGAAGGAGACCTGGATCCAGCCCTGGGGATAGTCAAGAGGCTATGTTTATAAACCCGAATCCAGTGGGGCCTTGCTTCAAAGCCCACTTAGAGCTGCATATCTGTTCTGAGACACTGAAGAAATCCCTGTAGGCATTCACAATTGCTTCTCTGGGAAGAGGTACTTGCTTGGCTCTGTACATGGTAAGTGTTTGCACCCTGTGCTAAGCACAAAGTGGAAATGAAGGTTCTCTCTTCCCTGAGCACAACATAAATAGATTACAGAAGAGACAGGCAGAGAGGAAGGTGTTAAATACAGCCTCAGCTCTGAGGCACAGTTGTGGACCCAGAAGGAGCCGAGACCTGGCTGCTGGGGTCAGTGCTTCAACTGGCTGAGGCTGCGACTAGGGCAGAAAGGGAGGAGTCCATGCAGTGTCACAGGGTGAAGGGAGGCCACAGGCTGTGCCAGGGTCTCAAGATTGTAGTTCTATCTCAGTGTGTATCCCAGCACCCTCAGAGGCTGAAGCAGGAGGATTCCAAATGGTAGTCCAGCCTGGGGAACTTAGTGAGACCCTGTGTCACAGTAAAAAATAAAACGGGGGGATAGAGATACAGCTCCATGTGGAAGTTCTAGGTAAAACCCAGTGTGAAAATTTTTTACA